AAGAGGGAAGCACGAACTCACTAAGACTTTTTCATTTGATGGAGAGGATGAGGAATCATGCCATTTGTATGCCAAGCCCCTAGCTGAGAAGATTAAGTTCATTAAGGGCGGAGTCAAGAGTGGATCCTTCTCAAGTCCTTGGAGGTGTGGGCGTTTTTGGTAGATCGATCAACTCATAGTGTCCCTGTGGTAAGATGTATTGCCAAGACTGCTTCAATGGTCACTTAAACGTTAGCACAACAATGGTTAGATCCAAGATAAGGTCATAATCCTTTGACAAAATTTTGACTCAATAAAACGACTCAATGAAATTCAAAAAGAATAAACTTGTTAGTAATCCCCCCAGACTTAACTTGCACCGTCTCGGTGTAAGAAAAATCCAATTAAGAGAGGTAATGATAAATAGGAATGGAAAAGTTAGAGTTTGTAGAAAATTGTACCTAAATTTTTGGCCCTTGATGTGAAGATCGGTTGTGCATATGAGGTTGCTTCCAGGATTGATCTGACTGGTGCAAACGTCATAGCCTTTGGATTTGGTTGGATGAATGTGACAAGTCTCCCTTGGTTTTCTGTTTTTCGCCTTTTTGGCCGAGACTGGTCCGTTCTGGTCGACCGGATGGTGATGGTATGGACTACAGCTCGAACCGTTAAGATTTCCTCGACCTATCTTGAAATTTCGTCGACCAATATTGTATAATATGGCGACTGGTGAATTTGGGGTCGTTTGAACGAGTGGTTTTAGATCTTTTTGAAAAAATTTCAAATTGGCTCCGGGAACGTCTTCCGTCGGTCTTCTCCAATTCTGCTCGTTCCAATCTGGATTTTCTTCTTTAGATGCGATGTGGAGGCTTGATGGAGGTGATTTGAGCCGGTGGCCGCGGTAAATGCCGTGATTTGGATTGTCGGCCATTTTACTTGCTCGCGATCGGCCAATTTTCACTCCATCGGCCATCTCTAGAATTGTAAGGAATTCATTGTACTGAAATGAATATTCATCGACCAACCTTATATTTTGTGGCTCCTTGTGAAGTTTGAGGCGATTTGAACGTGTGGATTCGGAGATCTTTCGTCGTGCGCGCCAATGGCTTCGGGATGTGATTCCTTTGGCCATCTCTTAATCTGTTCGATCGTCTCCTTCCTTTCTTCTTCCTCGGTGTTTTTTGGACTCCAGAGGATCAGTTTCCACCGGTGTTCGCGCCTTTTTGAGGTTTTGAGTTCTTCGGCCATTCTATGCATCGCCGTTGGCCGCATTGAGCTTCCTCGTCTATCTCTCTGAGCAGGCACTTTTTCGCGTCCTAACTTTTGGATTTGCCGACCACAATGATGTTTTGAGGTCGCCTGTGAAGTTTGGTGGACTTCGGTCGTGCCGTTTGGGAGATGGTCGAGCATTGTCGCTTGGTCGTCGATTCTGGCCGAGAGAGTGATTGTGAATGTGATATCTCCTTTTTTACTCGGGCCAATTGAGTTCTGCTTCGACCGAACTGTTTTTCTATCCCTCCTGGATTGAATTGTGGTTGGATTTCCCTCGTCTATCATGTTTGGCATGTAGAGTCCTCCTTTGGCCGGTTGTGGCTCCTTTGCGCGCCATGTTTGTATGATATTGTAAACCGGTTCTTCTGTCATATTTTATCTTTGCCTTGTGCAATAGTGTTCCAATGGCCGGATTTTATTGTGCCGCGGCCCTTCTTGGACTTCTTTGCTTCTTGAAACATGGGTGGGACTTGGGTGGGACTCAAACTAGACTCAATACTTGACATTTAGACCAAAGATGGTTGATCCTTGTGCCGATTGGTGGCGATGTAGCTTTTCCAATGCATTTTCATGTAAGCCTCCTTTTTGGTACTTTTTCCTAAAACAAGTTTTTATTTTATTTTTTAAAAAATTTATTAAACTCTCAAAAATTCAAGAGTTATAAATAGAACAAGTAAGTAGTTTAAAAAATAAAAAAAAAAAAAAGAGGAAGGGATAAGAAAATGTGGGTTGCCTCCCACAAGCGCTTGTTTTAAGTCTTTGTAGCTCGACTCCTTTGTGTTCTTAGTTAGGTAGGATTGGTGGCTCCAAGAACTTCCTGTTGCCTGATGATTCCAAGTGCATCTTGTCCTGTAGAACTTCCTTGATCAAGTAGCCATGCGACTCTCCTCTTACTTGTGAGCACTCTCCTCCACTTGTGTAGCGAAATCGCTTGGATGAGAAACCGGGAGGTGCAGCATCGTAGAAGGTGTCCTTGTCAACATTGGCTAGAGAGATTCTTCTATTAGGCCAATCCATGATCGCTCCAGCTGTGGCTAGGAATGATCTTCCAAGCAAAAGCTTTAAGTCCTCCGGATCCTTCATGGTTACTACATAGAAGTTGGCTGGAACTATGCAGCCTCCAAAATCAAGCTGAATGTCTTTAACCTCTCCAAGTGGTTCGGTCAATGATGAATCAGCTAGCTTTAAATCCATTCGAGATTTCACAATTGAATTGATCAATCCCAACTTCTTGGCTATCTCGGCCGGCATAAGGTTCACACTAGAACCGGAATCGCAAAGAGCATCATCAAAGTAGCTTCCATTGATAGAGAAATGTATAAGGAAGTAACCTGGGTCATGAAGCTTGTGTAGAAACCTAGGTTTAGGCATCCCCTTTCTTGCTTCCTCGTACATCTTTTCCATTTCAGCTAGACTCCAATCTTGTGTCCAAGCTAGGTCTTGCATGAATGGACTCTTGTTGCAAGCATTATCAAACGGCACACCATAAGGGAATCTCCTCGCCATAAAGTTGAAATCATCTATGATCTCTTCAAGTGATGATCTTATCTTCCTCTTCTCCTTGGTGGGAGGCGGTTGTGAAGATCTTTGAGTAAGGGTTCTTCCTTTTGGTGCTATCTTTCTCTTGTTCCAGTGGTTAGCTTCGTGGCTCTTTCTTGATCAGCTCTACTTTCTTCTTCATCCCAAATCACTCTTGGGTCGGTCTCTCTTATAGTAAAGACGGGCGCGGCATAGTTTTGCTTAGGAACGGTCGTCTTTGTCTCGGTCAAGACCTTCTCTTCCAAGTTGGCTAAGCGAGTGGTTAAATCCTTGACTTCCTTGGAGACTCCATCTACTTTGTCTTCAAGCCCTCTAGCTCTTCTTTGAATATCTTGGCTCCTCTTGTCTAGAGAGATGTGTAAATCTCGGATTTGTGCCTTCACTTGTTTTTGCCCTTCCACCAATGTAAGCATTGTCGAGTAACATTGCCTCTCCTTTAGTGTCACTTCGGCTACCTCCCTCTTAGCTTGATGAGCTACTGCTGTTATTGAATTGAGACTCTTGGTGGTGCCATCGAGGTTGTTATCAAGACTTGAGATCTTCTCATCTAAGTGATTATCCATCTCCTTGGTAGAAACTTTGGTAAAGTGTATCGCTCTCCTATTGTCTTCAATGGCCTCGCCTTGCTTCTTCAAATCTTCCTCCATGTCCAAGCATCTTGACTCTACTCTTCTCTATTTGGGTAGAGAGTTCTCCAAGTCTTCCATCTAGTTCGTATCGCGTGAACTCTAGCTTTGTCTCAATGTCGCGGCTAGTTCTTCTTTGGCTCTCCATGAAACCCTCAAGCACGGCATCGAAATGGCTATCTCTCCGCCTATTGAGAACATGGTCGTGGTGTGAATGCAACACTGGTCTAGGTGGTTGATGATAAACCGGAGGTCGGTTTTGATGATGATGGTAATGATGCTCGTCTCGGCTAGGTCCTTCAAACGTCGGATGAGCGCGGTTGGGAGGGAACGGATGTGGCACGATGCTTACGGCTGGGTCTTGGTAACTCCGGCCGTGGAGATCGTGTGGGATCAGTGTCCGGTTCCCAAAGTGGATGTTGGTGTTGTGATTCATCTCCAAGTACCTATAAACACAAGATTTAAAAAGAAAAAGTTAGTATTCGAAAATACCAAGATCTAGACTTAGTTTTAAACAAGACTATGCAAGTGTTTATGATGCAATCCCCGGCAACGGCGCCAAAAACTTGATGCGCTGCATCTATGGGATGAGTACAAGTAATAATTCCCTAAGACAACTAGTGTTGCAAGTGCACAACATATAATTGTAGTATTTAGGGGTCGAACCACAAGGGATTGGATTTCACACATTACATAATCATAGAGTTTAAATGACTAAGCTAAATCAAAAGATGCAAGGGTTTGTGTTTGTTTAGAACACGCAAAAGCAAATAACAATGCAATTCTATACAAGCAACATTATTGAACTATTGAAAACTCTTTTGAAAACATGAGCCAAGTCGATTGAAAAGTTTGTTAAAATCCGATTCTTTTGAACTCAAAACACTAAGGAAGGATTATTCCACTTTCGTGGTTCCAATCCCCTATGTCTCTTAAACCAATGGGCTCAGCTTTCGTTGGTCATTGTAGAGTGAGACATGCATTACATCCAAGTAATGATTGTTCACAAAACTCTTTAGGTCTACTTTCGTAGCCTAAAACGATTTGCCCATCAAATATTGTGTCCGGAGATATAACAAGCTTTTGGAGAGTATATCAACCTAAAATCAAGTCACTAGTTAGCTACTCTAGCAACAAGCATTAAGCATAAATAAAGATGGAGAACCATAGGGTTTCCCCTTTTAACAATCGATTCAAGATGGCCATTATATCACGTCCTCATTGGAAGGATCCATAATTCAACAATGAGTCTTAGATAGTAGATGAAGTCTCATGAATCCTTAGAGAGAGAGGCGGCGGAATATGACTAAACCGCCTCACCCTTAGGGAGAAATCTCTACTTCTAGACTATATAAATTGAAACATGCAAGCTATATACAAATGCAAAAGAAGAAAAGAAAGAAGAAGGAGACCACCTAAGTGGCTCCGAACTTTATTGAATAAGTGTTTCTTGTTATGCGGCTGGTGATTCTTATTACAAGAGGCTAAAAGCAAGTATATATAGGTAGAGAGCGGGTCTAGGTCGGCAAAGTTGAGCGCGCGCAGAAGAGGAAAGTTTCCATTTCTCTTTAGCCGCTTGAGCTTGCTCTCCAAGTTCTTGAATGGGCCGTGTTCAGGCCAATGGAAGCTTCTGGATTGAGTTATGCTAGTGTCAAGATGAGCCAAGGCCTTGGGCGCGGTATCTCGGGCCTCTTGATCCATCAAAGTCTCCATGGGCTCTACTTAGGCGCTCGTCGGACATGTCTTGGTAGAAAATAAGTTCCGGTCCAACGAGTGATCCAAATGACCTCTTTCCACTTCGCCGCGGGTCATGACTCAAATATCTATCTTTCCATATAAGAAACATGACTTTTGGACGTCGGGAAGGCATGAATATGCGGTCGTACTTCGGATGCTCCGGTTTGGTCTTTAGCGAGAAATGTAGATTTGGTGCTCTAGACTTGGGAACTTGGTGATTTGACTCTTTTTGCTCCATTTTGACTCTTCTTTGCTATTTTGACCTGAATGATGCTCAAAACCAGAATATACAAGAAAACTACCTCTTGGGCATAAAAACCACATTATTTGTATTAAAAACATAGTGAAAACCTTGATAAAAACATGAAAGATATGGGTATATCATTCTTCCTCCTCCTCCTGTGGCTCAGCCTCCTCCATGAAATAATCTTGGTTACTCTCATGTTCACTTCCATCAACCTCTTGATTGACGTCTTCACCCTCTTCTTCACTTGGAGAGCCATCACTCTCCTCTTGAACAAGGTTCACCCCAATCTCAAACTCTCCTTGCTCACTCTCACTACTAATGGGGTCATTCCTTTTCTTGGTCCTCCTCTTCTCCCTCAATCTTTCGCTCTCAGACTCCTCTTCAGAGTAGACATACTCCTCTGCCTCAGACTCTTCGATCCTTTGATTCATTCTTTCCAAATCGGCTTGCATCTTTAGCCTTCTCTCCCTTGCATTGCTTGATTCACCCTTAACCATTCTCCTCTGTGAAGCACGGCTTCCCTCACTGTTTGTCATCCTTGTTATGCTGTTTTTCCACTAAATTTCCTGAAATTCATCAACGAATTCAAAGAATTAGAGTTGTAATAATCGGTTTGGTCAACTCGACACCCAGCTCGATCGAGTAAAAAAAAACTCGAGTGACAAACTCGATCGAGCTAGGTGAAAAGAGAGTATAACCGAACCTAAATCAAGTATTAAGAGATAGAAAAGATGCTAATCAATCAAATCGAACCAAGAACATCAAGTAATTGGGACAATAAGCAATTCAAGTGAAGAAAAATCGATCGAGCTGTTCACAACCCCAAGGAACAATGCAAGGTCATTTTCAGTAAAGAAGGGCTTGATGAAGATGAAGATCAAGAGAGAGTCATGGAAGAGTTCTGTTTGCTGCTGAATGACGACGACATTGTTGCTGCTGAGATTCCTGGAGTCCAGAATGATCAACCTGAAGTGCAAGCTACTCCCATAGCCATTCACACTTCACCAGTTGAACTCGCACAACAAGCTTGATCGGCAGCTAGATCGAGTCGACCCCTAGCTCGACCGAGTCAGAAAACATAAGTCCTCAAACCGACTTTGCTTGATCCTTACCAACCAGGTTACACATCCTCATCTTGCCTACTCAGTCAAGGCCATAAGGAAGTGATTCACAAGTTCAGAAGAGACCTTACTGAGATTGGAATTGAGTTGCCTTTTATGGAAAGCATGAGCGAGGCATTTGAGCAAATGAAGATGATTAAAGATGTTATGGCTAACAGTGATAAGGTCTCAGAGCTTCTGGAGGTGTCTACTCAACAAATCAACCTGCCTACCTCACCTACTTTCTTACCAAAGGTGAAGGATCAAGGGAAGTTCACTCTCCCTTGCACACTTGGCCATATTGAGCTTGACAATGCCTTGGTGGATTCTGGTGCAAGCATCAACCTGATCTCCCTCACAATGGCAGAAAAGCTAGGCATTGCTGGAGCATTGCAGCGCACTACTACCTCAATCATGTTTGGAGATGCAACTTCCAAGTCTCCTCTTGGCGTGTTCAAGAACTATCACTTGAAAATAGGAGAATGCATCATCCAAACTGACATCACTGTCATGGAGATGGAAGAAGAGAAGGATCTACCTCTGCTATTGGGAACCCCATTCCTTAGCACAGTTGGCGCTTCAATAGACTTTCACAAACAAGAAGTGATTCTTCACAAGGTGAATAGTTTGGTGTCTTGTCGCTTGCAGCCTAGAGGATCAGACTTTTGTGCCACTATTGAAAGCACTCCTCTCAGTTCCAAGCCTCCTGAAGCTGCCAAGGTTGTGAAAGAAAAGGTTGACAAGGAGCCAAAAGTTGTGAGAGATAAGGTTGAGAAAGATAAGGTGGACAAGGATCAAAGAGTTGATAAAGGACCAAGGATTGAGAAACCACGCCTTGAGAGGCCACGAGTTGAGAGACCACGATCTGATAAGCCACGAGCTGATAGACTTGTTCAAGCACCATGTGTCCTTAATGAGGAAAGCCTGCAAGCTTTGTTTGATGAGCCACTAGGAAGCGCTCAAAAAGAAGGGGAGGATGCAGCCTCAAAGGAACTTGTGGGAGAGAAAAGAAAGGACCCACTAGCTCAGGTTGCCGCAACCAAGCCATCTCAGCTCACAATGACCTAGTTTCGCACCAAGTTTGAAAATGGAAAGATTGAGTACAAGATAAGGTACAAAGGGAGATCAAGACCATTCTCTAGAGCCAAGGCCTTGATCACTTCAGAGTATGAAGCTCCAAGGATGAACCCTTCGGTTGTCACTGCTCACAAGAAGATTTGACTTCTCCAAAAGTTCAACAAGTGGCAAAGGAAGGCAATGAAGAAGATGCAAAAGTCCATGGACAAGATGGTGAGCAAGATCAAGAGCCTAGAGAAGAAGGTGGCTAGTTCCTCATCTAAGAAGAACAAGGCATCCATGACCTCTCCTTTCCCTAGGAGTCGATCCCTCCTCACTACACCAAGGAGACTCCCAGCCCAAGACCCTCCCAGAGCCTCATCGTTTGAACCAAGAGAAGCATGAGATAGCACACAAAAGAGAAGGAAGAGTTCAAGAGTTAGACGCTCTGACTCGACCAGCGGACTCGATCGAGTCCAAACAGAGGAAACTCAACTCGGTCGAGCTGATGGTCGAGTTGACATGGAGAAACCTGAATTCGAGAACCCTGGGTTTAAATACGACCCAGCGCCTTATCAGGACTATCCTCATGATTTTTCAATAAATGTTTTAGTTAATTCTTTTTTTGTATTTTAATATTCTTTGTATAATATTTGGTATTAATGTATTATATTAGTTTTTCCTATTTTTGTGTTTTCATGTTTCATATTGTAAATTTTGTAAGTTTATATTTTTATAAAAGTATTTTTTGTAAGTTATTACCATTGTTTGGTTTCAACAATATTTATATTCACATTGACAGTATAATATATGTTTGAACTATATTAAATATTCACATTGACAATAAAATATATGTCTTGATTTAAGCACCATAGATATATATATTATCCAGTTTGTTTGCCTCATTCTGTTATACCAACTCACAAAGTCGTTTTGTTTTATTTTTATGTGTCACAAAATCTTTTATAGATTCATCTGTGACTTTTTATAAATCTTTTTTTTCGATCATCAGAAGATAATTACGATATCTAACATATATAGCGACAACATTTTTCGTCATGTTCTCATAACGGCCAAGTTCTTCTTTCCAGATGGTCTCAAACAAAGAATAAACTTTGAACTTAATTTCATTAGTGTGTCGGGTGTTGTTTCTTTTTCCTTGCTTAAGGGTGTTCTCCATTGTTTCCTTATATATCTTTCTATGTTTTCGATGCCCGAACACACCTGCTTTTATTTATTTAATTTGTTGCGACTTAAAATTTAAATGGCCGACCGACATATTCATTTCTATGCAAATTTAATTTATACAGCAAAATTGGTCAAAAGTAACTGTATCGACACGTAAGAAAACATTATATTCTGAAAAAAATGTTTTTAATAATTCTCGAAAGGCTGTGTTAGATAAATAATGGAGGTACAATTATATAACCTATGAATGACCTAAATCATTAACAAAATAGTAGGAGGTTTACACTTGCCGGAAAAAGAAAAGAAGAGTACATTACTTTTTTACCACTACAATTTTCCTCTTTCCTCGTCTGGAAAAATAAGCGCATTGTTAACTTTGTGATCAAACTGTCAAAGCAGCACAGAGATGCACGTGTGCCTCTCTACCTTCTTTCTAATTACCATACTAGCTTATATCAACAGCTCTCAAGCCTCGAAGATATGTATAACATCTTTATTTTTCATTGCTGGTGTATAACATATATCTTTCTTCCTTTTTTACCATATTCTACTCTATTTTACTTCTTTCACGACAATATTGCCATGTCCATTTAAACTCGAAACACTTGTTTGCAACACGTAGGATTTTTATAATTTATAAAATCACGACATGTGTCATTATTAATTATGAAAGTATATTGAGATCGTGACATGTGTAATGTAATTAAAAGATAAATAATATACCTATATAATACCAACGGAAAAAAATAAACAATTAAAAATAAAAATATTACATCTATTAGGAAAAGCAAAGAAAAAACATAACCCTATTATGAAAAGGAAAAAACAAAAATCAGAAAAATATGAAAAAAATAATTAAAAAAATGTCACATTCACTAAGAAAAGGAATAAAAAACATATTCCCATTACGAAAAGGAAAAATAAAACAATATAAAACAAGCTGTATTTTGTTCAAATTTTTCTCTCATTAAGAAAAAAAAAATGATGTCTTTAAAAGTTCAAGATATCACTGAAGAATAATTAACATATATTTAGATATATGGATTGAAATCAAAATGACTATTGCTACATGTGTCTAACATTTAATTAGATGATGATATAGGTTAACACAAGAAAATTAGAAAAATATAATAACATAAATAAAAAAAACTAATAAAATAATTGTAAAACAACTAAGTAATAATGAAAATGAAAATTTAATGTCACCAAATCTTCCCTCTTTGCTGCGGGTTCGGATGCTCCTGATTTAATAGAAGCAGCGGCCACAGTGGGGATCTCAGTTGGAGTATTGCTAGTTAGGTATCTTGGGCTTCCGCTCACTACCCACTCAGTTGGACTACGAACCATTGATTGACAAGGTCCGAACACGTCTGCTCCACTGGTCACACAAACCCCTCTCATGTGCAGGCCGCCTGCAGTTGATCAAGTCAGTGATCGCTAGTATCACTAACTTTTGGTGCTCAGCTTTTATTCTGCCTCAAGGTTGTTTGGATACTATTGAGAGCATGTGTAATGCCTTTCTCTGGTCAGGCTCACCAAATGACACTCATAAATCAAAGGTGTCCTGGGATGATATTTGTTATCCAAAGGAGGAAGGAGGGCTGGGGATTAGACGGCTCCGAGAAACGTCTCTGGTTTTTGCTCTCAGTCTTATTTGGAGGTTATTCTCGTCGACAGGTTCACTGTGGGTGGCCTGGGTAAAGTCTTATCTCTTGCATGGTGAATCTTTTTGGGATGCTAGGGATGGCTCAAAAGGATCTTGGATGGGGAAAAAGATGTTAAAGCTCCGAGACAAGGCTTACCCTTTCATCAAATATCAAATTGGTGATGGAAAAGAGGCTTTTTTCTGGTTTGATAATTGGCTGGAACAGGGCAAATTGTTGGAACTGGTTGGTGCATCAGGCACACATATGTTGGGCATACCCCGCCAGGCGAAGGTGGCAATTGCAGTTAGAGGCTCAGCCTGACAATTAAGAAGGCAGAGAGGTGCTGTTCAGCGACAACTTGTGGCCCTTATCCAAGCTGCTCCGGTACCCAACAGAGAGGTTGGGAGAGATGTGGTGTTATGGCGTTATAAAGAGGGTGAGTATAAGGATGTGTTCTCCGCTGCTGCAACTTGGGACCAAATACGTCGAAACCAAACCAAGGTCACATGGTTCAGGACGATCTGGTTCGCCCAGGGCGTACCCCGTTATTCTTTCATAGCCTGGCTCTCTATTTTGAATAGGCTGGCGGCGGGTGATAGGATGAGGAACTGGGGGCATGAACAATCTTGTCTGTTTTGTGGAGAGAGGGATGAAACACGAGACCATCTGTTTTTTGCTTGTCCTTACTCTTACACGCTTTGGTCTAGTTTGGGGGGCTTGCTAATGACTAGTGCCTCTACACCGGATTGGGTGGACACTTTGTCCTTCATTATCTCCCAGGGGAGTCGCACCATGGACTCGGTTCTTCTCCGTCTCCTATTCCAAACGTCCATCTACCATGTTTGGCGAGAACGAAACGCACGAGAACGAAACGCACGACGCCATCGAACCAGCTGGATACCATTGGAGCACTTAGCTCGCTATGTGGACAAGGCAATGAGGAATCAAATTTCATCCCTCAACTATCGAGCTCCGCAAAAATTCGAGGGTCTGATGCGTCACTGGTTTGAAGTGTGTTGTCTCCCCTAAATCACATCTAGTTGATTTTGAGAAGCACCGGTTTCACTCTTCTGTTATTTGATATTCTTTATTCTTTTAGGCGAAACACTTTATAAAGCCTTACATTGTAAAGTTTAGTTCTAGAGTTGCTCAATCAATTTGAAATTTCTTAAAAAAGAAAAATAAGCAGGAAAAAAAAAATTAGAATAAAAGCTAAGAGTGTGTCACGTGGCCATCTCTCTGCGCTGATGTGGCGGTCAGCTGGAGAGAGATGGCCTCTTATTATATATAAGATATATATATTATCTTATTATATAAAGTTGGATGCGCACGACGTGGTTGCGACACGTAGGATTTTTATAATTTATAAAATCACGACATGTGTCATTATTAATTATGAAAGTCTATTAAGATCGTGACATGTGTCATGTAATTAAAAAATAAATAATATACCTATATAATACCAACGAAAAAAACAAACAATTAAAAATAAAAATATTACATCTATTAGGAAAAGCAAAGAAAAAACATAATCCTATTATGAAAAGGAAAAAACGAAAATCAGAAAAACATGAAAAAAATAATTAAAAAAATGTCACATTCACTAAGAAAAGGAATAAAAACCATATTCCCATTAAGAAAAGGAAAAATAAAACAATATAAAACAAGCTGTATTTTCTTTAAATTTTTCTCTCATTAAGAAATAAAAAATGATGTCTTTAAAAGTTCAAGATATCATTGAAGAATAATGAACATATATTTAGATATATGGATTGAAATCAAAATGACTATTGCTACATGTGTCTAACATTTAATTAGATGATGATAAAGGTTAACACAAGAAAATTAGAAAAATGTAGTAACATAAATAAAAAAAGCTAATAAAATGATTGTAAAACGACTAAGTAATAATGAAAATGAAAATTTATAATGGTCAGAGGCAAAAAAAATTGAAAAAAACAATACAAATAGAAAACTAACAAAATAATTATCAAGGAACTAAATAATCTTAAAAAGAAATTTTTATAATGGACCGATCTTCAAATATTAATAGTTTAATTTATTTTTATTTGAAAATAAAGATTTCATCAATTGAAATCTCTTAAATGGAATAATAAAAGTTTCATGAATTAATGAGTCGATTAGATTTAGACACGTCTAAGACTTTCTAATTTAGAT